TGTGTGTGTGTGTGTGTGTGTGTGTGTGTGTGTGTGTGTGTGTGTTGGAGAGGTGGTCTCCAGCTCATCAGTAGAGAACTTTTGACTGAGAACAAAAATCGGTCAACTTTTTTGCGTTTCCCTAACTGCTTCCCTTTTTCATTTTCTTTCAACAGAAATCACAACCGGATCTCTTCCCGAGGTAAGAATAATGTAGCTACAGCTGAGAAAGGTTGTTTGAATGAAGGCCTTTTGTGCTCTACTTTAGATGAGCTGATTTTTTATTTATTTTTTTAAGTATAAGATGAAGTCATTAAATGTGGAGACGACAGATGAGTCAGTAATCTCACTGGCGCAGAATTGCTTCGCTTCCATCAGACTTTGAAATGCATACTGAAACGTTTCTGTTATGGGCATTTAGGAAGCGTGACTATCACTGTCACTTCAGATGAGCAGCTCACCAAATGATGTTTGAACAGTTTGAAACGCGCCACTCGTCTCTGTTACAGCCAAGCCTGAAACACTGCAGGCCAAGACAGAGTGTTCCTGTTCCGTACCAAAATTTCTTTTTTGTGTTTTCTCCTGTCGTTTCTTTCAGAGGGAACAATCCATTTGCTACAGTTAAACTGAAGCCCACATCCACCAATGACAGATCAGCCCCAATTATTCACAGGAGATGACTTCCTAACCCTGTAAAAAGTGCTTCATGACCTCAGTCGTGCAAACATTTTAAATTGTAAGTTAGATACTTAAAGATGGCTTTTTTGTTTCTTGATAATTAATTGTTTGTCATGGAACTCCTGAGCAACTCTTGTATTTTATACATTTCTTGTTAAATTGTTAAACAACCTGTAAAACTGGTTGTAAAATAAACCCACTGCTCAGCAACTTGCTTTCAGGTTCATGTTGTGATATTTGATGTTATGCATGAATCAAAGGAGGTTTTATATTAATAGATCACAGCTTTTGAAGTGGGATTTATAGAAATTATTATTATAAATACTTTATGTATACTACCTGTTGTAGATTGCTTTTTTAATTACCTCAGTTTGAAAAATGAGACTTTAAAGGGGACATATCATGCAAAATCCACTCTTTTAGTCCTTAAATACATTTTTTGCGTACTTGAAGTTTCTACCAGTTCACCATGGCAGAGGTCACCAAGGTAGTCAAAAAGCTCCTTGGTGGCAGRGCACCAGGGGTGGAGGAGATTCACCCCGAGATGCTGAAGGCTCTGGCTGTTGTAGGAGTGTCATGGTTGACACGTCTCTTCAACACYGCATGGAGAACTGGGACAACTCCTGTGGAGTGTCAGACTGGGGATGGTGGTTCCCATTTTTTAAAAAGGGGACTGGAGAGTGTGTTCTAACTATCGTGGGATCACACTTCTCACCCTTCCTGGGAAAGTTTACTCCAGGGGTGTTAGAAGGGAGGCTCCGACTGATTGTCGAACCTCGGATTCAARAGGAGCAATGTGGCTTCTGTCCTGGACGTGGAACAGTGGACCAGATCTTTACCCTTGCAGAGTTGTTAAGTGGGTCGTGGGAGTTTGCCTCTCTGGTCTACATGTGCTTTGTGGAATGGGAGAAGGCTTATGACCATGTTCCTCAGGGAATTCTGTGGGGGGTGCTGCAGGAGTATGGAGTGTCTGGGTCGCTACTAAGAGCAATCCAGTCCCTATATAACCAAAGCAGGAGCTGTGTTCACATTCTTGGTACAAAGTCGAGCTTGTTCTCAGTGCRTGTTGGACTCCACCAGGGCTGTCCCTTGTCTCCGATCCTGTTTGTAGTGTTTATGAACAGGATCTCAAGGTGCAGTTGTGGAGAGGAGGGTGTCTGGTTTGGGGACCACAGGGTCTTGTCTTTGCTGTATGCAGATTGATGCGGTTCTGTTGGCCTCTTCAGTCCAAGACCTTTAGCGTGCACTATGGCAGTTTGCAGCCGAGTGTGAAGCGGCTGGGATGAGAGTCAGTTCCTCTAAGTCTGAGGCCATGGTTCTCGACCAGAAAAGGGTGGAATGCCCCCTCCGGGATGGGGGAGAGTCTCTGTCTCAAGTGGAGGAGTTTAAGTATCTGGGTGACTTGTTCATGAGTGATGGTAGGATGGAGCGGGAGATGGATCGACGGAATGGGGCCTCATCTTCAGTAATGAGGGTGTTGCTTCGGTCAGTAGTGGTGAAGAAAGAGCTGAGTCAAAATACAAAGCTCTCGATTTACTGGTCTATCTTCCTTCCAATCCTCATCTATGATCATGAGGCATGGAACGTGACCGAAAGAACGAGATCCCTGATGCAGGTGGCTGAAATGAGCTTCTTTCATAGGGTGGCTGAGCTCAGCCTTAGAGATAGAGTGAGGAGCTCCGTCATCCTGAGGGAGCTCAGAGTAGAGCCGCTGCTCCAGAGTCAGTTGAGGTGGTTCAGGCATCTGATTAGGATGCCTCCTGGATGCCTCCCTTTAGAGGTGTTGCGGGCACATCCCACTGGGAGGAGGCCCCCGGGGAAGGCCCAGGACTCGCTGGAGGGATTATATATCCTCTCTGGSCTGGGAACACCTCGGGGTCCCCCAAGACGAGCTGATAAGTGTTGCTGGGGAGAGGGATGTCTGGGTTTCTCTCCTGGACCTGTTGCTTCTTCGACCTGACGGATAAACGAAAGAAGATGGAGATGGAGACACTTAAAGTTTCTAGGTGGGCAGAAAAGTTGAGTTTAGTCTCTCCGAGTGCTGTGTAGATATCTTTGGGTAACATGTTTCATTCCATTCAGTTTTCTCTATTCCCTTTTACATTTTTTGAACAATAACATTACAATGGGCCTCATGCAAGAACCGTTCGTACAAACAGATTTGTTCTTAAGTTGTGCGTACGAGTGATTTAGGAGAATTTGTGGCATTCASAAATTTCCTCATATTCTAATATTTTTTTCAGATATGAACACAATTCACGATTGGTCCAGACCTGTTATACATTTTATGAGCAGTTTTCTGTTATCCAGACAGATTTTCTTCACTAATAACTTTATATTTTGTTAGTTAGAAGATATTTTGAGTTGAAAATAAATCACACTCCATAATTATGTTGACAATAGGCTATTCTGTTTTAATTGGAATTATAATTTTAAATGTATTTATAACGACATAAATTGGTTACATTTAATTAATATGGCTATTAATACTGTTGTATAGCACTGCAATATTAATATGAAGATCTCAAACTACAAACCAACTTTAATTATGCATTAATTGGAGTTTGGAGACATTTTAAAATGCTTTTTTCCAGAAACACATCTGACACTTGTGACAGCCGGAAGTGTGTGTGTGTGTGTGTGTGTGTGTGTG